AAAATGTTGCCTAGGGTTTCTCTTTCACATTTCTAGGGTTACTCTTTCACATGTCCATAAGAAGGCGGGGCTTGTCGTACAGGTAAACTAGTAACCACTGACCTAAAACCTTCCATCAACCCAACCAATAGTGTTTTCAAAAGCAAATGTAGGAGAAAAATGCCACGTAGTTTAACCTTGTTTTTAACTATTTTGTGGAATTGTGCTTGACCATACACAAACCTGAGTTACCAAGCAAACTGACTCTGCAAATAAAAGTTGTCCACATAGAGATAGACAGGTGAGATAAATCTATTTGATTACAAATCCTTGACACTGTTAAGTTCTTTTATAGTATATATTTGGCGTTGTGCAAAGAACTGCATGAAAAAATCCTTTATTTGTCGAATATATGTCCCTGTAAATTTCAATAGTGTTGAAGGATCAAAAGTTGTTAACTTTTCCTAGAAACTGCAGTCCTCTAGGTTTAAATGTGCATCTCCAATGAGCCCCGAGTTGAATATGATATTAGTGATACAGTATGTATGATACATCACCCTCCTCAAAAATGTGTTATTGTAGTTAAAGCGAGAGAAACTTGTGCTTTTCCTTGTCCTGCACTACACATTATTGCAGCTGCAAGCAAGATTTCTCAAGTCTAAAAATATCAAGACAGTTGAAATGAAAGCGACGAGAACAAAAAACATTTCAAGTTCTCCTAAGTCCCAAAATAGATGCTACGAGACAAAAGCACTCCAGAATAGTCTGATGTGCCACTGTATCCCATGAGCTCCGGAATGGTCATTGGGTTTTTTTGATGGGAACAGACGCCATTCTGTTCTCTGTTCCAATATTGCAGTTACCCTTCTCCACAGGCGTAGGTGAGTCACACTGACAGTCTCTTCAAGGTGAGATTTTTTTTTGGATATCCTCTGTCATGGCTACAGGGCATGTGTTGGTTGATGGAGGGGCTTCAGGCAAGAATCTTTTGTTCTGTATCGAATCTTGCGTCTACACAATCCCTCCTCAACATTTTGCAATAGCCGCTCGCCTGACATATCTGGATACTTGAGCTGCCTATAAAAAATTGAATTGGATTTTTCCTTGTAATATCATATTTATGGCCTGAAATGGCCTCGGAGGTCTTTGAGTGCAATGTGTCAATATGTTGACTGACATTGTGCACAGCTGAAGTCAGGATGCTCTTTTAAAGGCAACGCATGTCATTGGCATCTACATTTAGTCAATTCCAAAAAGCCAGAAGCATAACCGAAGGTGAAAAGCTGCAGCAACTAGAGTATTAGAAGTCTTGTAGGCCTATCAAAGCTTGGAAGACTTGGTCTCTTCTGTTCTGGCCTATTTCTTTCAACTTACTAGGGATTACACGGTTTGTGAGCAATATTCGCTGCTTTGGAGGAAGACGTCTGGCCTTTAGGATCACTTAGCACTATGAAGCACCAAGGGCAGAGGAGCTTTATTGAGGTCAAATGTTGATCTTTGAGCATTTCTTATTTATTCAAACCATTGAAAGTCAATAGCAAAGCTAAATGCTAGCACACACACACACATACACCTACTAATAGTATACCACATTAGAGTTGTTGAGATATATACAGTGTGAACATTTGTTTTTTCAAATTCTGATCTAAGGCAGTGCTTAATTTGAGTCAGATATTTCCGGATCCTGTTCCAGAAAATATCTCATTGTTTGGCGAAAATAAATAATGCCATAGAGGCCAACCTAAATAAGGTCTGTATTTTCAAAATGGCAAAGAGGCAGTCACGCATATTTTCATTTTTAAAACCACGAGTTATTCTGATAATGAGCCTGATCAAAAGAGATCTTGAGAAAATGAAACTGCGCAAATGGATCAGGATAGCGGGAGACAGAAGCAAAGCGATCTCAAACCAGCCAGAAAACATAATAGAAGTGGTAACTGTGGGCTCTTCCTGAAGATTAGACTAAGGTCCAATCCCAATTGTAGCCATTAGCCCTTCCCCATTAGCCCTTCTCCCAATTCTCTTTAGCTTGAAGGCGTAGAGTTAAGGGAAAGGGGTGATTAGCCCTTCGAACTAAGAATTTCAGGACCACATTCGAAACCAAGGGGTAAGAAAATTTCCCAGAATACACCAGCCACAACGGCAGGAAAGCTGCATCCGGGTGAGATCCACAAATTAGTATTTTTTGTCATTAATAATTTTTACAACAAACAAGCACATGTTTTAATTTACTCATAACCGCATTCGTGTTTTACCGTCATGCTTAAAAAAAATGCTAAGATAAAAACGCTAAATTTTGCGATGTATTATCCATAATCAATCATAACTCCTGTACTGCAGTCTCTCAAGTTTCTGACACTCGAACACCCATGTCAGAAAAGTCTAGTGGTTTGGAATGAGCTTTTTACAGTGTCTGTTATAACATTAATGTTGTATTTGTGTGTTTACATAGATGAACATGGCCACTGTGTAAATGCACAGTATATTTACGATCTTATTGCCACATTAGATCGTTATGATA